TCGGCAACCCTGGATTCGGTGTTTAGGCGCATGTTGGCCGCACGTCAGTTGTACCTGCATTGTCTTTTCTTTCATGCGCGCACGACCGTAGACACCAATCCTGTATGTGGACAGCGGATCGTAAACAATGATGGAAGTGGATCAAAATCCAAGACTTCGCAGACCAGGAGACACTCGCGCCCACGTGGGCGCTAAAAACGGCACGCCTTGCCTTAGCGGGGTTGGTGCCAATGCCTTGGAAAGCTGCATCCTTCGCTGCAACATCCCAAACATCAATCATACCATCTCTTTAAGCATCTTCGACACCGTTGACTACGTTCATACCCGCCAAAATGTCACCCATCTCGCGCATGGCGCGCCTCCTCCTCATCCTCCACTCCATCGTCAACATAGCCCTCGGCGTCTACCCCTTCATCAACCCAGAAGAGTACTCTGCAATCACTGGTATGGAAGGTCCAGACAAAACGCTACAATCGATCGGTGAGTCGAATATCATCCCTCAGTGCCTTCAACCCCGGACTAACGAGAGCAATAAAAGGCCTCGGCGCAGTAGCAGTAGGCTGGTACCAACTCATCTTTACCTTCCAGGGTAATCGTCGCATGATGGCTTCGACCATTCCGCTGAGATTGGGGTTTGCGGCTGTCATGTATGGGTGGGAGAAGCAGCCTGTTATGATATACGAGTTGATTGTTGTGTGGTTTTGTTTATTGGGGGTGTTCGCTTAGATACGAAAAAGGTGGTGGGAAAGAGGAAACGATGGACAGCTAAAGACGAGAGTTGGGAGAGGAGAGAATGGCGTGAGACTGGATGATCATGGCCTAGCTTAACCAAGGAATGCGATATACTCGGAAATCGATTCATACTGTTGAAAATCATGTACAAGCAGCTACTTCGCCCACTCTACGCCATCTCGGTCCCTCAACTAACTCCACTTGACACTCCCCCCAGCCTTCCCGTCCAACCCCCACCCCCCATACGTATCCACAAACCCCTCTCTAGTAAGATACTCCTTGTGCTCCTCGCTCCTCCACGCAAGCGCAGTCCCCAACTTCCAACTCGTATCCATTTTATCCAGGACAAGCTCCACAAGCTGGACGTTCTGCGGGTGTTGCAGCTGTGGTTTCTCTAGGATGGCGGAGAGTTCTGATAAGGTGGTTGCGCGGTGGAAAGAAGATGAGGGGTCTGGGTGGCGGTAGAGGGGCAGGAGGTGCGAGTAGTTGTGGGGAACGATGTCGTTGTATGCTGTAGGCGTTGGTGGTTAGTTCGTTGTTGTCCGCGTATAAAGAAGAAGGGGAGAAAAAGAGAAAAGACTTACGTTGCCTCGCCCCCCAAATCAACCTCTCAACCGTATACCCCTCATTATTAATCACAAAAACAATCGCCTTACACTTCGCCTTGATCATCGTCCCAATCTCCTGAATCGTCAAAGCCATGCTTCCATCTCCCGTCATGAGAATAGTCCGTCCCTCTCCTTTCTTGTCGAGCTCCCTCCGCGCTATATCCACACCTAGCGTCGCAGCAGTAGCAAACCCGATACTGCCATAGTAGATCTGCGTAATGAGTCTGATGTCTGCTGGGAAATCAATGTCGCACAGACCGAAATTCGAGGTTCCGGTTTCGCTGACGAGAGCGTCGCCCGGGCGGATGAAGGATTGGATGGCGGGCCAGAGTTGGGATTGTGTTAGGTGCGATGATTTTGCGTCGAGGGGTGTTCGGGGTGGTGGGAGTTGTGGTTTGGGGATTTTGTGTTGGGGGGTTGTTGGTAGGGCTGTGGTTAGAGCTGCGAGGAGGGGTTTGATGGGCGTGTTGGGGTAGGATTTGCCTTTGACCTAGGAAGTATGTCAGTAATAGACGTCAGATAAGATATACGAGAGACTTACAACAACGTCGTGTGGGTTGATGTGGATGGTGTTAGTCTCGTCCAACGGTCTTGAGAAGCCAGCCGAGTTCGTGTCAGCAGGTATGTACCCCAGAGTCACTACCAAGTCTGCCTGTTTTGCTGCTTCTTTGACGCCCGGAGAACTGACTTCGCCATTCCATACCCCGACGAAGTTCTCTTCTGTCTCATCGACAATGCCCTTGCCCATTGTTGCTGAGAAGAAAGGAACGTTGAGTTTGCGCACTACCTGCGCAGCTTCCTGGACAGCGTTGAAGCGATGGACGAGAGCGTCTACCAGTACGGTTGGCTGTTTGGCTTCGGCGATTGCGGCCACGATAGCTTTGACCGCTTCATCCCGAGCCTTCTCATCCACATGTGGCGCAAGATCAATCGGAGTTTCCAATAACCCAGCATCCACCATCTCGGCACTCAGATCCAGCGGCAAGAAGATGTAGACAGGCCCACTCTTGATAACACACTCCCGTAGCACCCTATCAATCTCCTTCGGCGCATCCACAACATCCCATAGCTCTGCAGCCGCGAACCTCAGTCCCTCGCTAGCCTTGTTGTACATTTGGTGATTCGGCTTATTTCCAATACTGTGGTGGATCATCATGTTGTTCTTCTGCATCGCCCGCGTAGTTTGCCCAACGACATGGACAACTTTAACGTGTTCACTCATGCTACCTGCGATGCCGTTCAAAGCCGAAAGTTCACCCACACCATGCGTGGTCACGAGACATCCGGGCGTGTTCTTGATGCGGGCGTATCCATCGGCGGCGTATGCAGCGTTCAGTTCGTTTTGGTTGGTGACAAAGGTCAATCCTGGGGTAAGGTAGATGGAGTCCAGGAATTGCAGGTTGAAGTCGCCGGGTACACCGAAGATTGTGTCGACACCAATTTGGTGGATACGCTCCCACATGTAGCGGCCGAGGGTTATCTTGCTGTTATCTGCCATGATGGGCTGACCTCTAGCTCTTTCTCCTTTTGAGTGTTGCAAATTTCAAGTGACTAACTAACACCTCTATATTCCACGTCTGTTAGTTGTGTTGGTGTTGTAACCCTTGCGAAGATATAGTCCCAACAAGCTTACCGTGTGCTGTGCCGAGGATTCCGAATTCGAGGCAGATACGTAAGCAAGATTCAGAAGAAGAGCAGGAACAACACGGAACATGGACGCTAAACACCATAACATTCACATGATGTTAGCATCTGTCTAGGGCGCGCGTAAGGCGTATGACAACCGCGGTTCGGTTGGCGACGGTTAGCGGAGTAGTACAGTGCGGGGAGATCGGCTCAACATCGGAATGATATCGGAAACAGATAGCTGTGATTAGAACATGACAACTAGAGCTTCAAATGATAAACACCTCGTCAACGATGCTGAAGTTCCTTGATAGATTGAGCCTCTACCGATCACGCGCTTTCTTCTGTCGTCCCTGCAACGGAGTGCTTCTTTGCATCCTCGAAGCTCGCCATCTTGAAATCGTACGGCAGCTCAAAGTCTGCTTTCGGATCTCCCTCAAAAGGATTGAAATCTACAAGAAGGGAATCCTTGACCGCAAAAACGGCATCGTCGTCGATGTACTTGCTCGTTCGGTCGAAGATCTGGGTAACAATAGGTTTGTAGCCTGGCGCTGTGAGCTAAGATAAGTTAGCACATCAGGCTGCACGTTCGTCATAGGCTTCACATACCAGGAAGTGTATATGCGCCGGTCGCATTGGATGCCTATCCAGCGCTGTCAAGACCTTGCCTGCCGGCCCATCGAACGGGATGGGATAGGGCACCGGCCTCAAGCAATAAAAGCTATACTTTCCGTCCTTGCCCGTCGTGAATCTCCCTCTGAGATTCATCTCTGGCTGGTCTGGATCTTGCTGTTCGTATAGGCCATTCGGCGCCGTATGCCATACGTCCACCACTGCGCCCTCGATAGGCTGCCCGGTTCTAAAGTCCGTGACGGTGCCGTGCATCAATGTCCGATCGCCTTGCTCATTTATCTCCTTGGACACGATGCAGGAACCCATGGGTAGCTTCGGGGCATCGTGGCGGTAGAAGGGGCCTAGAATCGCAGTCGCGGTGGGTTCGTCGGCGGCAGTAGAGGCGAGCTTGTACGTGATCTCGTCGACGAGCGATTCGAGGCCGAGAATGTCGCAGAGCAGTTGGCCTTCGTTGCGTTTGGCGTCTGACATGCGACCTGCTGCATTCATCTGCCCATCATTAGTACGTCGAGCTATATTCTCAGGATATTCAAAATAGAACGCTCTCGACGTACCAACTCCACTCCTGTCATCCACTCATCGACTGTGAGTTCATTCTCCCTCGCAAAGTCATGGAGATGCCGTATCAATCCCGCTGTGAGCTGTCTGACCCTGGGCGTAGCTTTTGGTCCCGTCGCATTGATTACCGCCTGAGTGAAATTCGGATTGAACTTGTGATCCTGGCTATCCGATACCGCGGAAGGGTGGTGAGCTTGTGAAGCTTGTTCTTCTTCCGGCATGATGACGTTTCTGATAAAGAGTTTCTGAAGCTGCACTTGAGTTCATCAAAGGACAGTATTATCTTTCCCTCTATGCGATTGCGATTAGACCTAAAGTGCTGCGCAGTAAACACAGTTCAGATGTTAGCAAGCAGCGAACGGTTAGCAATACGATCGAGATCCGACAGCCGGCAGCATGTCGGCCAGTCAAGCACACCAGCGCAAGGCGCATAACTTCAGGGTTCGCCGTTGGCTTGTACTTTCGTACGACATAGCACGGTGGGGCTGTGGAGCGAAGGTGTGTATGGCGTCGATGGTAGACGCAGACGGAAGCTGTTGTCGGTGCGGCTTTCCGACGAAGGTGCGCCTTCCGAGACTGGGATCCTTGGGACTTGGCCAATGGAAGAGGGACGGGTAGTAAGCATATATGACGACTGTCTGTCGGTGTGGTAACACAATCGCGCAGGCTATTGTGACCATGGACGCCTAAGTTTCATGTGATGAGTTTTGTATTAAGAAGATTGAGCCAGATCAATGATGACCGTTTTGATCGCAGTAAAATGCTACAGTATTGCACTAGCAACTCGAGCTATGCAAAAGACCCAAACGCCAACAAATATGTCCTGATAATGCTAAATTACGTTCAATCACTGTCATCATCAACCCTGGCGCGCTTGGCTGATCTGCCCTCCGGCTCCTGGATGCCGTAACGCTTCTCTCCAGTCTTCTCGCCTTTCTCACCACGAACCTCGTCAATCATCTGGTTGATATTGAACGGATCGTCAGTATCCTTCTCAAATTGAACTGGTCCGTCTCGGGCCTCTTGCAGATCCGCACCCTTGAAACCCTCCTTGGCCTTTCCAAGGACTTCGAACTTGCTCGACTTGGTGATCCGGTCGTAGGTCTGCCCCTCGTCTTCTCCGTCATCCTGCTGTACACTCGGGCGGTAGATGCTGCTGATAGCATCCTGAGCTGCGAAGAGAGGCTTGTCGTAGTGGTTGTCCTCGTTGAAACCAGCGTTGAATCCGCTGGACTGGTTGAACAGCCGCGAGTCGTACATGGACTCTCCGCTCTGTGTCGGCTTGGCCAGACCGAGTGCGACCTTTTCAGAAATATCACGATTCTGCTCCCGAGCCAGCATCTGGATCTTGCGCTCGGTACCCATCCGCGACTGACGGAGTTCGCGCTGGAAATCCTCGCGCCTCTCCTTACGAGCGTCCATTCGCTTCCGCACTGCCTCTTCTTCCGAATCAGTGTCCGATTCGCTCTGTGATCGCCTTCGGGAGGTGTTGGCGCGCTGTTCTCGTGCCTCCTTCGCCAGGTTTCGCAGGTGCTCCTCCTTTTGTAGCTTCTCCTTCTCCGCTAATCTTTGCTGCATGATCGCACGCTGCTTGACCTCCTCTCGTGCATGTCTGTCGGCTGCCTGCAACGCTTCGCCGAATTGAGCAAACTTGTCGTTGATCGTGATATCCTGCAACCCCCGACCATCGGCTGCTAGACGTTTGTCTAGTGGCACTGTGTATCCCTTGGGATTCTTCCAGTTACTGATTGGGGGTGGGATCTTCCAAAGTTCTTGGTCTTCGGCTGTCAGCTTTCGCGGCGGTGAGTGGAGGACGGGTGGGGGAGGCGAAGGTGGTCCGCGAGGAATGCGCTTGTGCTTGAACTTGGGCGGCTCCATGGGATCGATCTGTCTTTGTTGGATCTTGATGATGCGCGTCTGGCCCTGGGCTTGACCATGCTGAGCCGTAGGTGTATATCTGACGAAAGTCGGCTCGTCGTTCTTTCTGCCCTGTACGTTCTTGGGCCGTTGCGCGGCAGTCTGCCCTTGAACCAATGCCATGAGGGCCTGCTCAGTCTTCTCCTTGGTTGCTTGGACAACCTCCGCAGAAGGACGCGACAAGTCCAGCTCGCCAGCGTCTGCCTGTTGGCGCAGAGGAATGAGGTCCTTGAAGCTGGCCTGCACAATCCTCGAATCGCCGTGTCCGCGTCGCGCAATCTCGTCGTACTTGGTCTTGCCCTCGCCGTCGACTCTCCTCACGAGCGCGTTGGATGTGGATGGTTGGCCCTTCTTTCCCATGTCGAGCGGGTACTGCGCGACGAGTACTTCCGGAAATGCGCCTCCATCGCCAAAGTCTAAAGATGATGTCAGTACATCTCCCGTGTGCCCTCCATACGTGTTTTGCTTACCTTCAGGCGCGCGGGGCCTCCAGTGCTGCCTTTGGCCGTAGGGCGGCGGGCCCTTCTTCGCGACTACTTGCGCTTCATATTGCTCTGCGGTTAGCACGCGCGTGCTGTTGGTGAGCTCCTCCTCTTCGCCCGAGTATTTCGGCTTTGGCAGCGACTTGGACAAAGCTGCGACGGACATGGTCGGTGTAGGCGCGAGGGCAGTTCGCGATGCAATGAGGGTTGGGTATCGCGGTTGGCACTGGTGGTGGTGATGATGTTGCTGGGCAAGATTTCATCAGACCCTCGGCGCTTGGTTCAGCCACCGCCGAGGTCACGTGATCATGGCCCTCCAACTCAGCACGTTCACTGTCTACTATGTACACACTTTGCCCTTTACAATGCAACAGCCAATCAGCGAGGCGAAGCGCGCAATTCCGTCTGTAACTATGTAGCTTTCACTATCGATATAGGATCTGAGCCAGCGAACCTTGTATTGCGCGCGAGATTACAGTGTCTGCTACAGGAGAGAGGGTGTCTGGCCTTAATTTTCACGACTCAGGCGCCGGTGAATCTTACCTGCGACTGACATGGGTAAAAGTCCCGTCCGTCGCTGCTACTCGCTTACAACCTGCCGTTGACCAGGATGGCGAATGCAGGAACAGAGTCAGTCAGCACAATGTTTTTGCAGTCACAATCGTGATCTGTTATCTCGACGGGAGATTCGGGAAGCTTGGAAGCGGTTCCTGCTAAGGGCCAAGCGGCGGTGTGCGTTCACCGGACGAAATGAGAGCCAGCATGCTTTTTGGGCCAGACACGCACAATGGCGAGGTAATAATCGCGCAGGTAAAGGTCAGCTTACAGGGAAAGTTAGTCGGGTAGATGCGTCTTTGACACGCTGGTAGTCGAGAGAGGCGAGCGAGTGATGTGCGATATAGGGTGCGATATAGGTTAAGGGCAGAGCACGGCTAGTCGCTGCACATCATGCCGTTGCTAAGAGACGGTTTCGAAGGCGGCCATTCGTTCCAGAAAGGACTGTGACATCTCGTGCAGAGTGGCCCGGGACCCTAGACGCAAACGGTCAAGGTCAAGATGCTAGGGATCCCCAGCGTCGCAGCATCAACCTCTGAACTTTGAAGAGTGAATTGGCAATATTCAACGGCTCGCGCGCGGACTGTGGGTCGCAAAAGCAGCCATGACGGGCTGAGTATTCTGAAACGTTGTCCGCCATCCCTGTCTGGTGTGCCAGCGCAGGCCTGCAGCTATGCCGACCCATTCTCGGAAATCGTCTGGAGGAGCACCACAACACCACACCACCCAGCGGCGCAACTCTTTGTCGCAGAGCACGCCCCCGAGCAAGCCCACCCACGCCCGCACCAACACGGCCCCGGAGCCGCCCACGCTGTTGCGCCTGCCGTCTGTCAGCGCCTCGTCTGCCCGCCGTCCCCCAGCCTCGCACAGCGGCCATGGCATAGACAACTCGCGCGGCCCTCCCGTCACCCTCGTCACTCGCAGCCGCAGCTCGCAGAACCCCGCCGACTTTGCCTATGCGCAGCAGCAGTTCCTCCAGTCCGGCCTGGTATCCCCCACTAGCTCCCACCCGCAAACATCCCCCAGCGAAGCCCCGCGACCACCACAACAAACAAGCGCAGCAGACCCGGCCACCCGCCCCCGACCCCACCCCCGACGAGCCTCGACCAGCAGTGCGAGGCCCCCGCCGCGACGAATGGCGAGCTCCACCGACGAGTCGTCCGAGTACGACTCTGGCCCCCGCAGCCGCATGGAGGACTACCACGCGGCGCATAGCGGACGGGGAGCGCCTGCGCCCGCGACGCCAGGAACAGACGGCGAGAAGGAGGACCTGTTCCTGAACATCGCCGCCGACAGTGCGCCCAAGCCGCCGCGCCCAGAGAACCCGACAGCGCGCGACCGATTGAAGGTGAGCAATGGAGCTACGGTATGCGCATGAATGGCAGCTAACGACCCAGTCACGAGTCGCCCGCGTCAACAACCGGCAGTCGCTCCCCTCGGCCCTGCAGTCGCCCTCGCCCGTCCAGGTCCAGTCGAGCTTAGTCACGCCAACCACCAGCAGGATACCCTCCAGCGCTGCCCTCGAAGCCAGGTCCAGCGGCATACGCCGGTCGTCGCTCCTGCCCACCCCCTCCAGCTCCAGATACGAGCGGTCGCCAAACTCACCTGCACCCGAAGCCATACGGACCCGCGACCTCAACCACAAAGCCTCCTTCAGCTCCACACGACGCGACTCTGAGCTCTCACCGCGCGACTTCCTAGCCCAGTTCTCAAACTCAACGAGACGAGGATCTCAGCCTGAGGTACATCAAACCCCGCCCAGTCGCACCCCGGTCCACCCCTACAGGCCGTCGAACCTGTCACACGAGCCGCGCACGCCGCAGGTGGAGACATCCTTTGAGGCTGGCTCGCGCGCCGACGGTACCGAGTCACATGGCTCTACAGGGCCGGCCGCGTCTGTATGGGACGAGCTAGACGAGCTCAAGTCCAGGATACGGAAGATCGAGATGGGCGGCAAGATCCCCTCGACATCGGGTGCCATTGTAAACCAAGCATCGGCTGAGCGCCCGCGGACGGCCAACACCTCAGCTACGACAGTCTCTTCTTCGCCAAATCAGCAGCGAAAGTCGAATCTGTCGCCTGCCGAGTCGACAGTAGGCACCCATACCCCCAACAACAACAAAACTCATCCTCTGTTGCGCGAAGCTCTCGGTAAAGCTAGACAGTACGTCTCCCCAACTGTCTACCGCAACCTGGAAGCGACCGCAACCGAAGCACTTGCGCTGGCAGAGATGAGCGGCAGTGCAGGACCGCAGGGCACACTCCATTCTGCTAGCTCCATCATCAACGGCTCTGTCGTCTCAGACCGCCAGGTTCGTCGCAAAGCCGACAACCTCTGTCGCAGTCTCACCGAGCTCTGCATTGCTCTGTGCGACACCAAGACTGGTCTTGCCAGTCCAGCCTTCCGATCTAACACAGCCACGCTATCACGTCGGCCGAGTGTACAGATCAATGGCGATTCACCAACGATCCGACAGAGCATCGAACCCGAAAGCAACACATTATCTGGTGTCAGTCCTAGTAGAGCCATGTCACGCATCGAGGCTCGGAGAACCAGCATGCTTATCGATGACTCCGGCCGCAGCCAAAGAGGTGGCAGCCAGGAACCTTACGACGATAGACACACCCCGTCGCGTATGCAACGAGCAGGCACCAGTCTTCATCAGACACGCAACAGCGTAGATGAAGAAGACGAAGATCCAATATTCCGTGCGCCTTCCCGCGCGATGACCTCAATCGACTTTAGAGCCCGCCACGGTGGTCAGTCAGATCAAAAACGGTTCACCGGTGGCAGACAATACACTTCCCGCGAACCAATGCCTGATCTACAGCCATCACCCGCTCTTCAAACCACCGCCAGTCTCCGCCGGCCTAGTGTTTCAAGTAGTACGCCCTCCAACGAGCATAGTCTGTTGTTCCGGGATAACCAAAGCCGCTACGGTCACAATCTAGGCCGTGAAGGCTCACCAGCCAACTACGAGAAGACCCTGACGGGAGGACTACGACCAAGAGCACAATTGAGCGTCGCTCGAAACCCAAACAACAGACACTCAGTCGGTGGTGTTTCCGACATCGGGCGCAGCGTGAGCCTGGGGAGACGACTAAGGGGAACAAGTATCGGAGAGTGAGCAAAGCAAAGCTCTCGCATTTCTTTGAGCTTGCGTTAACGTTTGGCGTTACCCTCATAGTATGCCCAGTCTCCTCTTTGGTCCACGCGCAATGACCCCGCGACTCTCATACTTGAGACCGGATTCGCCATGGGCACACCAACAGAGGCGCGCCATAGAACACCGAGTCAGTACAGAGATATAGAGACAGACGCGCACGGAGACATGTTAGAAGGGAGTATCTGCTTTATTCAGCCGTGCAAGGCTAAGAAGTCTGTGCGATTTACCACGAAGGAGTTTCTACCAAGCATTGTGAGAGAAAGAGCGTTCTCACGACTTTGCATATTTTGCCATCAAAAAGGGCTAACTACGGAGCATTTTGCTATCAGCGTTTCTTGCACGTCAGGGGACAAGCGTGTGGGCGCAGGATCGATTCACCGTCAGCATCTCATGATCTCTTTGTCTTTTTTTCGTTTGCCGTTTTCATTAGTTCCATATACCAACACCAGATCGTGTTTTTCCTTGCTACTTCTTCTTTCTCTTCAAAACGTGAGTGTTGAAACTTCGTGTACATATATCAAAACCGCCTTTTCCTCTGTGAATATATATATCAGTTACGAACCCCTTTTGTGCATCTATGAAATGAAGGCTGACACAGTGCTCAAGGTTACGGCTTTCACCATCGCAGACCGGACTCTAGGAACGATACGCAATGCCCACACTTTCACTGATTCGGCGCGTCTGGAATGGCCAGGCTTCTGCGACCTGGAGTCCTTTTGGGTGAATCCCACAAGTATAATGAAGAAGGTCTGCTGCTGGCTACGAATCGGACTCTCGCAGCATTGTTCATTGCTGGCTGTTAACTGGACGAGCCGTCGCTTGTCGGTAATACTGACCATTCACAAAGGCCTTGTAGTTAATTGCAAGATATATGTGGGCTGTTCTCCCATATTCTTTGGACGACCCACACCTGAACCCATGCAACCATGGAACGAACGTGCCCTACACACGGAAATGTCTATATCGCATGGTATTCATTTGAGTTCAGGACCCCTTCTTCTGTTCACCGCTGACTTCACCTTATCTGAATGCCCTGGCATCCCTGAATCCGTGCTGTGAAACAATCACGCTCTTTGCGCTGGAGCAAACAGTGTTTAAGAGCGCACCGACCCACATTCACCTTCCATGGACCTTTTCTGCTGTGGCCTTATGACGCAGCGCCGCTCGCGCCGTTCCTCGAGTTCTTCTACTGCGACGCTCGACCACGACACCACCCCAGTAACTACGCCTTTTTGTCAGCCCGCAACTCGCAATCCGCACACGACCGACACAGACTTACACTCGCCTTTGGATTCAACTGCAGCAAACTCGCCATCAAGCGCATCCACCACCGCTTTAGCGCCTGAGCCAGCAGTGTTTGTCAATTCGCAGGCCTTCGCAAACGCCCCCATTACGCGAATCCCCACCACTTTCAAGCGCACACACTCCCCATCGCCAAATCGTA